TTCTTTGATGAACAATCTACTGAGTGAATCCAACGTATCTGATGACCCGACAGGTAAGAATCGGGCTGTCTTAGTTAATCGGTCTACCACCACCCACACACCGTCGTGTCCCTGTAGTGACCGAGGCAAACCCGTCACAAAATCCATGGTTATGTGTTCCCATTTCCACTATATTGTGTTGCTAGAAGTGTATTTTTTGCCAATGCCAATTTGTCGTTGCCAAAACTAAAGCTTTATCGACAATCAAATCGTTGGCAAATGGCAACATTTACCGACGTAAATGTGTCACCAAAAGTTTACTTTTGCCGACGCATATATTGTTGGTAAAAGTATATTTTTTGCCCATGCAAATTTGTGTCGCGAAAAGTGCCACACAATCATCATATTTGAATGACTTTTACCAACGCAAGGTAAATTGCCAACGATGGATGGAGGTTTTTATCGACGACTATGTTCGTCGCTAAAGGCATTACTTTTACCAACGCAATGATAATTTTGTCGGCAAAAACTTTTGCCAACTCACTTTTGCCTACGGGTTGCCAACGTAGCTTTGTGTGTCGGCAAAACTCTTTGCCAACGAATTTTCCCTTTTAGCAACATATTTTGTCGCGTTGTGAAAAATGCAATTTCTTGTAGTGATCTTTCACTAAGTTCCAATATGCAATGCAATGCGATGCCATACAGAATTCACAAAAATAGAAGTGAGTATTGAAGATTCAAATTTAACGTGATGTGAGTCACATCTAAAGTGAAGCTGATCCACACACTAGCCATTTTTCGGACTACTTATTATGGCTCTGTAGCTTTTTTGTCCATATAAAGAATGATGTGGCTACTGAGTAAAACTTCAATGCAACAATGATATCACGTCATCGTTCATATGCAAACAAAAATCACTCATCAATCAAAGTTTTATATTTTATTATTATTATTATTTTTTTTGTTTTGGGGGGGGGAGGGGGTGACAAATGATAGGGATGATGATGGTTCAATACGTTCCCTGCAATGCCATCAACTGAAGTACCACCCGCAAAGAGAAGACCATTGTGAATACATAAAGAATGTATAGTTTGTTTCCCTAAGATTTTTCTCACACCAGAATAGAATGTAGCAGCTGTGTATTTGTGCAAATCCACCTCCTGCCATTTTTTCTCTAAATTTTCAGGACAAATAAGAATATTCTTAAGCTTTCTTTAGTAAGTACTAGAGAGTATCAATTGCAAAATTATTGGAAGTTCATAAGTACAGGCAGAGGGGTAACCTAGGGCAACCTTTATGCTACGTTTGGGTCTTGGATTTGTAGATAGAAAATAAAAAGGAAATGGAAAAAGATGGGAAAGGAAAATGAAGTAAAAGAAGATTTTTTTTCTCTCTTTTTTTGTTGGCCTTGGAAAATGAGAAGAAAATGCATACTTATTAATAAAATATAATTTTTTTTTTTATAAATTACCCATAAAAATAAATATTTATGAGTAATGTATTTCCCTCGACAAATCTAAGATCCAAACATAACCTTAATTGCAAGGCCAAATAGACTGAATCCAATCGATGTTAGAGAATGTTTACCAGGATACTGTAACCAGTGCAACCACAGTACAGCTTACTTCCAAACATTGCAAGGGACTTGACGGTTTTGTTGAAGTTAATATGCTTTATAACCCCAGACCAATTATAAATCTGCACAACACATTGTTCAACAAATCATTATCTTCTATGAATCACACATGTTAATTTGTTGGAACAATCTAAGAAAGCTTGCCTTAACTCCTGTTCCTTGGGAGGAAAAGCATGCAACGTTGGCATTTGCTGTCAACTCGTGAACTGCTTCTTTCACATCATGAGCTTGAAGGCAGTGAATTTCTTCTTTCTTGATTGCCAAACCTTCAGATGAAAAAATAATTTGAAAACTTGTCTCAAAATGACATAAACAGAGTTCTAAAACGACTTGACGATTGCAGGACCTTAATTTTGGTAGTAAGCAACATGGCCAAGCGTAAATTTCAAGATATGAAGACTGATTTTAAATGGAGAGTGGCAACCTTAATGTTGTTGGATCTTGGATTTGTGGAGAAAA